TGGCTCATGTTTTATTATTTTGCTTTTATTTAGCAGCATTTTCTTGCCACAGAGCACTTCACAGGATCCTGAGCCACAGGTCTGGACTGGGACATGTGGTACCACAAAAGGGTACAGAGCAATACTGCCTTTCAAGGAAACATCTGCTCCTTGAAGCCAGAGTAATCTTATACTTGAACCAGCTTTACTGAAGGAATGATCAGTTTGCAGATAATTCTGTTACTCAGATGCCTACAACGATATGGGTGGACTCCCTTTTTATATCCTCTCCATTCCATAGGGGTGGCCCAATCCTCACAATCATCTAAGGAGGGATTGATCTTAGGGCAGTGGGAAAGAATCTCCATGAAAGAAAACTGAGAAAGACTCATTTAAAAGTATAGCTGTTAGTGTGAGAAAAACTGAGAATCTGGCCAGTAGCACATCTGTAACTACAGGTTTCAAAATGCTAAGTGAATGCAAGTAACTCTTCTACTTATGAAAGAATTTAATATCCAGCTGATGTGTTTATCAGAAATGTGGTAATAGAGATGTCTGTTTTATTGGCTGCTGTTTAGACAAGTGTTCATAAATGATTGATACTTAATTAATTGAAGGCAGTATTACAAAAACTAATCTACTTACAAAGTCTTCCTTTAACCAACAGTTATCATGTTTGTTCTGATCTCAGAAAGATAAGTTGCAAGTTATTATCCTTTCTCAGACAAAGTAAGCAAATAAACATGAAAGAGTGAAGAAGTGAAATACCTGAAATAATATATTTTTATGCTTTTTCTTTTTCCCTCTGGGTAGGGGTTGGGTTCAGAAAGCATTTTCAATCTTTGTCGTGATTTTTTTTTAAACTTTTTTCCTGATAAGGACAGGAAATTCGCTGGGGTTATTGGCAAATCAGGGTCAAAAAACATTTCCTTCCTAATATCAGATGGTACACAAGAAGTAATCCCCATGTAATCAATAATTCTGTCTATAGGAATAAATAACATGTGCCTCAGACCATATTCCAGCCCTGGGGGTAGGGTACACCTTCAAGCAGACGCACACTGTTTTTCCCAGAACGGAGTAGATACACTCTGCAATGGACCCTTTCCCATGCTATCTCCCAGGTCATGCCCAGGCACAGTCCTGGAAGACTTAATTGACAAAAATTATGCTGGAATTTGTCAAAATGTTCAGTTTCACAGTTTGGTGACTGGTGGTCGGTGCTTAATGTAGGCTTGCCCAGACTACATGGTTAGGGCACAATCCAGACCCCAAGCACATGAATACTGTTTCTGTGGCCCGGGCTGAGGAAAGCATGAACAATCTTGCTTCAGAACCTACCTCAAAAGTCTTCATCAAGACATCATACATCCAGCTTCGTTTTCCTTCTCCACCACGGTCTATCTGCATGACCTTGGGCAAGTCACTCTTCTGGCTGGGCTGCAGACTGCAGCGTAGCATAGCAGCAACTGTGAAAAGGCTAGACACAGTCTCCAAAGCAGTGGGAGCAGGTATTTTCCCACAGCCTGGTTCACCTGGACTTCCAGAACAGTAAAGTAACCTACAGTGACTCCTTTGTTGCCAGAGTGGATTTTAAACTCATCTCAGGCATCTGAAACTAGAGTGCAGTCTGCACTCTGAATGTAACTGCCATCTCCCTGCTTCTCTGGTGAGTGGAGAGACCGAGACTATCTGACTTACAGAGGGGCAGTGAAGACGGACGTATGCAAGTCTATAAGCTCCTGCAACACTACAGTAAGGAATGATTAAATGATCATTACCCTTCACAGCCGGATTTTCTTAGGAAAAGCCAAGCAGTTTCATTAGATTTTGCAGCCCAATATCAGCTGTTTCAAAACCAAAACACTTTGCTGAAACCTGCTCGTACAGCTCCCATGAAGCTCCCATGAAAGATATAGCAAGAGATCATTCATAGCCAGCTACACCTGAGAGAATCCATGTAATTTGGCTTCCAGCAGGAGATGAGAAGAGGGACAAAGTGAAAGTTCCTCACAAAGCCTGAGGGAAAATAAAAACTACAATATGTTTTCGTAGCTTCCAGGTGGAGCAGAAGAGGGGTGGGAATAGCTCAGCATTGTCATAGTTAGGGTTGGAAAGGACCTTAAGATCATCAAGTTCCAACCCCCATTCCTTGGGGATGGGGGGGGGGGTGGTTCCCAAACCAATACAGGTTGACACTTGACCTATGTCAGATGCAAACTAAGCACTTCTGGGACGCTTTCACAGTTTGTAAACCCACCATAGTGTTCTTAGAAGAATTTTATTCAATCTGAGGCCATTATTAAAAGAATGCATCAGAGCAAAATCTACCACTATTAACCAACCAACTTGTCCTTTGAGAAAGTGAGGCAACCTAGAAGACCTTGGTGGGTCCTTATAGTGCAGGAACATTCATCTGAGAAAGCTCCCAAGGACTTTCCAGTCGACCAGTGTGGACTGGTGAACGGTCCACACTGAATAAGGGAAGGCAGATTTGGCCCTCTTGTTTGCATACCCATAATGTTTAATCACAAACAGTTCTTCATGTCACAACTCAAGTAAAAAGAAATCCTCATAGCTACAGCCACAGAGGTTGTTGCCCTTTGCTGAACATCCACAGACTGCTCTAGCCCAGTGCCTGCAGCACCCAAGATATTTTTTGTTAAAGACATCTAGATACCCCAAAGGAAGCAACACAGGCCTGGGTTTCTACAGCCTTTGCTCAGAGGTGCAGAGAGAGGTAGGTCAATAAATATCCTGGGAGCCTGGATTAAACCAAGGTTTTGGCCATGGCTTGAAGGACAGCAAGAAACATTTGTGCATAGCTTCCTAACTCTTGGTAGTCGACCTAGTGAGTCTATACAAAGCAGTAATTTATCCCCAGCAGCTGGAGCCAAGAAGACCAGAGGAGGTGAGTATCTGAGGACACACCACAGCTTAAGGCCAGCCTAGATTCAGGGCTGACCCTGGTCCCATAAAAGAGTCCTTATCATGCCGGAAAAAAGACCTGTGTTCAAGTATGTTTCTCAGTAACACCAGGGGCTTTCCCTAGCTGCAGAAATGGGTCATAATTGTTAACTTTTTTCTGAAGTACACTCACAGATTTTAGAGGCTTTACCTCCCTTCACTGAGAAGTGGGTAGAAAGCTGCCTGCTCTGTCCAGCTTCAAACCTAGATACTTAAGTGCATTTATTGCTTCATCCAGATAGAGGATACATAACTACTTGGGGAACTGGAGGTGCCAGGCTAGTATTTAGCAGCGTTGTCAGATATCAATGCTTTGTTAAAACATTTCTCTGTGTGAATCATCTACTGATCACTTTTATCCCAATAAATCATGAATCTAGGGCATGTTATTTCTTCATTTGCTTTTATATTAAAAAAAAGGAGGAGTTGTATGCATGCTCCTAGTAAGAACTGCCACATTACAAGTGATCCCACCCTAGTTTTGTGAAGCTCATTCAGGGTGTCTCTACACAAGAAAATTAATCTGGATTGGGAGAGTAGAATCACTATTTCTGCAAAAAGCTGGTTTATAATATTGTTAGTCTAAGTTATTAGTGTTGTCCACCAAACTGGCTTAATCTTGACTTTAAGAATAAGCAAAATGTAAAGAAAACACTTTAATTCTTCAATAGCAGGGTTGTTTTCAGACCAAGTTAAAAGATAAAATTTGTGCAGGTATATTTAACTCAGAATAACTCGAGTTTCTGAGCACTCCTTGCACTGAGGACTTTCCTGCAGCAGCAAGGACACCTTTTTGTTTCCACACACTGAACTCAGTCACAACTCTGCACAAAGCAATTACTGTAACATCTAGAGCAATGGGACCAAATCCCAGCTGTCCCACCTGGCCCTTTTACTGAATTGAAAAGACCAGTAAAATTGATCTATGTCTCTGATTTGGATTTTGGGGCAGGGACTGGCTTTACTTTTTTTTCTTGGTATATGAACAGTAATTAAAAAATAAAACTTTAGGATCTGGCCACTTCTTCTCAGAGCACTACCTCCCTCGTCCCTGAGGAACTCTTGGGGAAAAAAGGAGGACAGGAGACCCCAGTGAGCCTCTCTGCTCCAAGAAGGACCATATCCTCTTCCCTGTGACCTGAGCTATGAGCTAATAGTGTGCTAAGGAGTCTGTTACACTGTGTTAAATATATCCTGCCTCTTGTGCATGGTATTCTGTAATTCATCGAAACTTCTTTTAGCAGCCACCTGCAAACTTTGCACCTTGTTTGCTCATAGCAGGTTAGTCCTGGTGATCTCGATTGCTCCACGTGAAAAGGGAAGCAGATGGGTGCTTGTGTTCCAGAGAAATATTCCTGAGATAATTTGTTCCAAATTATTTATTCTTTTAATTGTAAGGAGTGAAACTTCTTTCACCTTTTACCTTGTTTTGCCTTCACTGGAATCCTCTAGCTGATGGGCTCCATCCCAAAACTCCAGCCCATCCATCAGTGGCAGAGTTAATTGTTATCACACTGAGAGAAAAAATTCCTCCTCCCTTCCCCTTCCTTGCATGCAGGTAAAGAAAAAGAAGGCAGGACACCTGAAACCGCTTCTGGCCCAAGCCTCCTGCTGCTCCTACGGCACTCGCAGAGGCAGGGAGACACAGGAGCTAACTGCATTTGAGGAAAGCCTTTTCTGGCCACATTAAAGAGAAATTATCCCATCCCGACAGTGGGGCTGGAAAAGGCGATATCAAACCCCCAGTTCTATCACACACACAGACCTCCTCTCCCCTTTTCCCGATGTATTAACCCTTAAAGGCATTGCAAGCTCTCCCGGTTCCGAGGCTGCTCTCCATTCCCTGCTTCTCCTGGATGGTTAGCGTACAGTCCCCCCTCCCTCCCTGCTCGGACAGAACAATAGCAAGGCACCGGTTTCAGCTGCTTCCCGAGGAAAGCCCAGATCACACACATTTAGAGATAGAGAGATACGATTCTATTTCTCTTTGCTGTTTAGGACAAGAAATGAAGTGCTGCCTCTTTAATTGGCAAAAGCATGCAGTAAGAGCATACCTTTAATTTAGTGTTGGGATAGCTCACTTGCACCCTGGCTGTTGTCTTATTGGAGAGGGCAGCCTGCCTCAGATCCTCTAGCACTGAAATAATATCATCCAGCACGCATTTCTTATCCTGATTTCTCAACACACACAGATGGGAAAAAGTATAATTATAGCCTTTGTAGTTCACCTTCATTTCCAGCACGGCTCGGTGGATCTGCAGGATCACATCAGCCTGGTGCAAAATATTGCCTCCGGGTTTGGAGAGGAGAATCACCCTGCCATACCTCCCCGGGGTGTGCAAGTCCGAATAGAGCTGGCTTTTGGATTGATCGAGGGAGAAAAGGCTGCTGGCTAAGCTCCTCTCGATCTTGGCCAGGCTGTGGCTGGGGGCTACCAGGCTCTCCAGGTCAGTGTCAGGCTGGAAGCGGTTGAGCAGGCTGAAGCCGAAGATGATGGTCAGGACTGCGGGCACAGTGAGGAAAAACACCGGATGCCTGCTCACGAATAAGCCCAGCTTGTAGAAAAACGACTGGAGCCCTCTGTGTATCACCTGCCGCAGCATCCTCCACCAGATCCAGCCTGCAGATGCTCCTGGCCGTCTTAGAAAGCACATGTGACATGTGTAGCTCCTTACCCCTTCCTGTCAGTTCCCCTTTCTCTCTCCCTCTCTCTCTACTACTCCTTTAAAAGACTGCAGCAAGTTGCAGCAAGACAGCCAAATATTGATCAATGGGGTGTGTGCGTGCGGGTGTGTGTGTGTGTGCCGGGCTGGAAGGGACCGGGCAGAGGAGGGAGGAGGGTGTGGGGGGGTCCTTGCCTTTTTTTTCCTCTTTCTCTTTTTTTCTCCCCCTCTCCCCCCCCCCCCCCCCCCCCCCCCAGCCAACTAGCATCGTCCCCCCTCCCAGCCCGGGTGCCCCCCTTTCTCCGGCTAGGCTCGGGCGTTGCACCCGGAGCGCTGCCGCCTCTGCAGTGCCCGCTCCGCTCCCGCCGCTGCTCCGCGCAGCCCCGCGGCCGGCTCCGCTTCTCGGGGCGGTGCGGCGATCGCCGGCAGCGCACCCCCTCCTCCCCATCCCTCGCCGCAAAGCACCGCTGCTCGCTTTCCTCACACACACACACACACACACACACACACACACGCGGCATTCGCCGGGGCCGGAGGATGATGCTGCATTTTAACATCCTCCAAGACCCCCTCCCGCGCCCTTCCCTCCCCCGGCCGCAGCAGCGTGGCCTCCCCGGGTGCTCCTGCTCCCCGCCGCCTGCTGGGGAGGGACGGAGCGATAAAGGGAGATCTTCGCCCGGAGACTTCGCCAAGCGCTTTCCCAAAGCGGCAGCATCCACGCCCGCCGAGCCCCGGTCCCAGGGCTGCTGCATCTCCACGCCGCACTCAGCCCCTGTCCCTGTGTCTCTGAGCTCCCCCAGGCAAAGCTCCCAGCCCGAACTGCCACCTCGCCCTTTCCCCCATTTGCAGACCTAGGGCGCAAAGGGGGAGCTGCCTCCCTGCTCCTGCGAGTGACTCCGGGAGAGGCTTGGGTCAAGGGGAGGAAAGGGGAGTGAGCTGTTCCCTTCTGCCCGGCACCGCTCTCCCTCCGCTAGCTGCTCCCTGAGCACTGACCCAAGAGAGGCAGGACGGGGTTCCTGACACTCTTCAGCTGAAAAAGAGGTTTTCCAAGCAAAGACACCAACAGACCATTACATAAGTGGAGAAAAATTCTGCAGCTCCCCAGACCAAAGGCGAGCAGCAGACAAATGCATGCATTTGCAGTAGGAGAGCTGCCCACCAACTCTCCAGGGAGCAAGCTATGCTCCTCCAAGAGCTTCAGCCAGGACGGGACAGCAAAGCCAGCCCTAGCAGACCTGACAGCCCCTTGCAGACAAGGCAGGAAAAAAAGCAGCCTTGCTTTGCAGGAGCTTTATACTTAACCCATAAGCTTAAATTGCAAACTTGTAGTTATAAAACAAAACCCCAGTAATGCAGATCTCTGCTTGGTGTCTCTCCTTCCACCAAATTCTTGCTGTATTTTAGTTAATTTTGTCAAGCAGAAACCGATTTATTTTTGGGATAGGACCAAGGATGCTGTTCAAAGCCTGAGAGAGTGAGGTTCTTCCATAATAAACCCGTACTGAAACAGAAGGAGGGAGAGTGGGAATGGGATCTTGAGACTGTCAGCAGACTGCCTGATACAGGACTAAGACTAACAGTGGGCTATGCTCAGCTTGAAGTAATTATCAGTGTTTCAGAGAAAAACAGCATATTCAGACACTGCTACCACACACACTTCACTGTGGGTGAACAGGACACGCAAAGCAGAAGCCCATCTTTGAGGGCTTTGGGGGGTTCATGTTAGGTCTCAGAAACAGTGATTCAGACTGGGAGCCCAAGGTCCTGCAGAAGCTTGGAAACATTAAGTTTTTCCATGGGATGCAACAGAAAGACTGGGAGTATTGGACTGTAAACTTACCTGACTGAAATAAGTGGCTAAGATTCACAACTACCTTGGTAAAATCAGCTTAATTTTTAGATATTTCACCGGGTGCTGCAAGCACATCATGCCTTTCAAATTCAGGCTGCTTTAATTTAGTGGCCTAGATACTGCTGAACTGGAGGGCTTGCAAATGTGGCCTGGAATTCTTACAGGCAACAAGAAGGAGCAGCTGAAAATAGGAAATTCTGTAGAAAAGACTTTGTTAGCCTCTTATTTGCTTATCTTAAAGCATTGCCCATGACAGGAAGCTGCCTCAACAACCCCAAGAAATGCTAGGGTCCATTGGTACAAATTACGGCTCTTTGTCTATTTTATGATGCACTTACACTCAAGGTTGAGTGCTCCCAGTGAATAAAGTCTAAATGCAAAGGCTTTATTGAGCCTTTGTGCTTACACACGAGACCTTGAGCAGAAAGTCAGAACTTCTACACATGCAGGCTTATAATAGCCTTTGACAGAGTATGTAACCATATCTAAGCCACAGGTGCTATTGGCAGAGATACCTTAGCAGTATGGGCTTCAACAGAGGTGGCAGAATTTCTTCCTGGAGCCGTTTGATCCTTGATACTTACTGCTTTAGTGGTTTATATGGAGTTGGTACCTATTCTGGCAAAGAGAAAGCCTTAATCATTTCTCTTTATTACTGTGGCCTTGCCCAGTAAGCCCTCTACAGACCTGGTCATTGCTCAGGAGGTTGGCCAGACTTTCCTGGTGACCACTGGAAGAGTTCAGGAGCACCATAAAAGCAGTCTGGACCACCTTAGGAGGAGCAGGACCCTCTGGTGCCTAAATAACATACGGCAAAGGACTTTTTTCTGCAGCTTCTCCCAGTATTGGGACACTGCAGTGGAGCATTCAGAAACAGCATTGCTGAAGCACAGACCATACATAAAAAGGGCAGAGAAATATGTGCAGTGAAAGGTGTAACTGAGCACATGCTGCTTCCTTCCTAAGCAGGAAAATAAAGCATTATTGCCAAAGGGCACTGGCAGTTGGCCTTTCCTGTCCCTGGCAGTACACAACAACAAAGTGTAATCCGGTATTAGTGCTGGTAAAACTGGCTTAATTTTTAGATATTTGAATGGGTGCTGCAAGCACACCATGCCTTTCAAATTCAGGCTGGTTTTATATAGTGGCCTAGATACTGCTGATCTGGAGGTGCTTGCAAATGTTGCCCCGCAGGTAACGTGGATGATAAAGTGACCAATGCATTGTGTTGGTCATCTCAAATGCCTAAATCCATGGAGGATCTAAAAAGTCAATTTGAAGCACATCTCAGAAACAAGCAGAGCATCAGCACCTTTTCTGAGAGCAGTGTTGGGATATGCTGATATTTATATCCTCCCTGGTGTCATCCAATGAATCCTTTTTAAAGGGGAATAACCGACATGTCAGGGATGCTACTGGGGGAACTGAATGATGATTCACAGAGTCTGGAGCCCAGAGAAGTAACAAACCACAGACATTCAAAGACTTGGAAACATTTGAAACAAGATTCAGCTTGGAAAACACGTGACTGTACCTGGGGTAAATAACTGGAGTTGCCTACTCCCAGAGAGGAGACAACTTTGGGAACAAATGATTCAGCACAAAAAAAAAAAAAACAAAAAAAAAAGAAAGGTTTACAGCACAAAGCAAGCTAAAGATGGTGTTGGAAAGAAAAACAACCCAACATTGCATAGGAGAAAGTAAAAACAATACAAATTTACTTGCAGAGATATCCTAAAGCAGGGAGGGAACAGTCCCTCTGTATGACTCTGATGTGGCTGCGCTGAGGGGACTGTGTTCAGCTCGGTGGGTTACTGAGATGTAGTAAGCTTGTTAATAGTTTAAATAAGAATCATTAACAGGCTCAAGGGGTTGACATAGGTGCACTGATTAGGTACTGAAGAAGGTAAAGTTTTGTGTCTGAGAGCCAGATTGCCAAATGCTGATTCACAAGCAAGTAGAGCTAGAAACAGTCCTATTGACAGTGATTTTAGGTTGTTATGATTCAATAGCAGGGTAGATATAGTGAAAATTAACTGTACAAAAAGACAGTGAACAGTGAAAAATGAAGGAATAGTTAGAATGGCCCCAGAAGCTGTGTAAAGAGCTAATGAGAGTAAATAGAACAGAATTCAGACCAACTAGCAGTGTTCCTACGCTTATGTGATTTTCTACCTCAAACTGGGAAAGAAAAGCTCTGGTGTATTGAGTTCAGTTTTAGAAATGAGGTTTTAAGAGAAAATCCCTGAGCAATTCTCATTTAGTACTGAACTTCCTTGAACTGCAGGGCCAGCAGTACACAGGAGCCAGGCAGGGAGGGCAGGAGTGGGAAGGGGGGGACACTGGGGGTCTTGGCATAATAAATAAATGATTTCAAAAAGATTGTGCACAAACGGACTGCTTTATTCTACTTTTAGCAGATTGCTTTGCCTGTCCTATAACAAACAAGTTTTTTTAACTTTGAAAAGCAAAACCAGTCAATTCGGAAATCAAGCTTTTGAGAATAAATTTTAAATACTTTTTTTTCTGATTAGTTTTTGCAAATATTTTCGAAGTTCATTTTTTCACCAAAAATTTGAAACTTTCTTGGAAATTTATTATAAAGAAATAAACAAGTTGTGCTCTTATTTCTGTTTGTTTTTTTTTGTTTGTGAAAACTTGCTTGTCATTTTCTAAGCAACTATGGCTAATTCACACTGTTACATGATAAAAGCCTCTGGTGTTAGCAAGGAGCTGTGAGATCTGTGACAAGGAAGAGCATCATAAAATGCATAATACTAATGTATTATATTTCTTGAGAGCACTGAAAAATCAAAATGCTGAAAGAAGACAGCTTGCAAAGATAGCTTGGAGCAGCAGGCAGTTAAGTAACATGTTTCCTGTGGGTGGGGAGGTTAAGTTCTGATTTTATTTTCTTTTGTGGGAGAGAAAATATTGATTCAGCTGGAGAAAATGGAAATTGACTGAGGAAGCTACCTCAGATGAGTGAAAAACTCAAAGGCACACCTACGTGTGTTTCTCCTTATCACTTCTGCAAAAAATAAGCCATATCTCTTCAGGTCTTGTTATTGTGCTTCCTACTATCATAAAAGGCTAACAATGAATATTCATTTCTTCCATCACCATATGTCTTTATTTTCATGTCCTTTCCCATTTGGAAAAGTACTTTGAAAACAAAGTTGTCTGTTATAACCCATCTCTGGATGGAGATCTGTGGAACTGCAAATTATACCTGCTACCCACGTCCTCCTGTAGGGCTTTATACAGAGGCCCTGTCTATCCTGTGGGCTTTCAAGCTGATTGGGGAAGATACTGCAATGTACTTTTAATGCTACAGATCTAAGGGAAGCTGGAAAAGACATTCC